AGTCTTTCTTCCCCTGAAAAGGGCGGCGGGCCCCAGGGGGCCCCGGGCCAACCCAATTTCCGAAACCCCGGTTGGGGGGTCAGGGGGGAACACCCTGGTTTTTTTTGTTTGTTTTTTCCCAAATTATGGGAAGGGTCCGGGGCCCGCCCTTTTGGGGGGAGAAAAAACCCCCCCCCAAGGGAAAACCCCCATTCGGGGGTTTACATTTCAGGAAGGAAGGGCCCCCCGGATTAAGCCCCCCCCCCCCCCCCCCCCGATGCCGTGGGCCCTAACAAAGACAGAGGCGCGCCTGCACATACTTGGCACACACACGGCCATCGCTCTCCAAAATAGTTTGACTGTAGTGGGGACGGCATGGACAAAAAACGCTCCTCCCTCCTCTTTCTGGGAGGGAGAACATTCTACGGTTTACTGCTTCAGAAGTCACGCTCAACTCTGATGTACGTACCGAACGCACGCACGCGCATAGTTGAGTGGAGTGCGAGAGGTCCCGCTGCGCCCTCGATTGCCGTAAGGATCGTGGGTGCTGTAAAGGTTGGCGCCAGATGCAACGCGATTTCGCAGCTCAAGTAGCGGGGCAGCAAATTGTTATCTTCAGCATTCGCAGTCCACTCGACCACATACATACCACGTCTATCGTTCATCGCGCCACTCAGATCTCTGATCTTTTCGTGTGCGATCTCAAGCTGTAGCATCATCATCATCTCACTTACCGACCGCTTGTCCCGCCTTTCTATCCGTGAGATGAGCTCGTCAGCAAGTCGCCAGAGGAACAAAGCGCGAAAGATATTGTTGGTGTGACCCAAAAGCTTGTGTGATCGTGTGGTATGATGGCTCCTCACAAACCGCACATGCCGATAGGAGAGTCCGGGATTCGCGAGAAGACCGGCCTCCGCGCCTCTTGTTGACACGGCACATGACACGTGACCCAACCTGTCTCCCAAACGTTCCCCAATCGTTCCTCGCTGTCCCTGGGGTTTTTGGCGGAGAAACAATCGGTGTCGGTACATACGTACACATGTACCACGAACACTGAACACCGCCGTACAGGGGTGAACAGACCTTGGTCGTTGTGAGTTGGTCGTGACTCTTTGGATTTATGTTGTTGCAGCTGATCGGTGCCGCTCATCTCGTTCTTGTTGTACAGGCGGCGGGCTGCTGAGCATGACGCACAGCAACTCGGGTTGAAAAATTCAGAGGAAGATAGAGAGCCATATGTGAAACGCATTCCTGCCATACAGCGTAGTGTAGTGTTTTTAGTGTTGTGCTTTTTTTGTTGAAATAGATTTGTACGTCTGGACCGACTTTGTCCGGACAGCAGTACTCTGTAGTGCTGTGCACGGCGGTATGCATAGTTCGAAAACACCTACCTGCTAACATGAACAGACACAAGAGGACCGAGTACAACGTATGGATCCTACATATCTAAATGAAACAAGTATTCACACACAAACATGACCGTCAATCTCGCTCAAGAGTTCCAATTGGATTCTCCCGAGGTTTCCCGATCTCCAGGGATCCCATTGGCTTCTTGGGCAAGAAAAAATAAGACAACATGCTTGTCACTATAGACTTACTTAGAGTAGACACATACATGATGAACCACACTTTACTTCCGCCCACATTACACATCAAGGTAGACAGCGCATTCGCGTCACAAAATAAAGGCGGGATACAGCAGTCCACGAGGGTACCAAGGAGTTAAACGGATGCAGACGATAACTGTCAACCGAACGAAAGAGAGGGATAAACAAAGCCGCTGAAAAAGCGAACCCTACGGGCGCGAATATTTGCAATCCATGGATTATAAAAGAGAACCACAGTCCAAACATCCGGACGGATCGAAACCCCGGGAAACCGCCCGGAGTGTCCCCGAAGAGGTTCTCCTCTCTC